CAGTATTGAGAGCAAACCCTGACCTAAATAATCACTAAGAGTATGTGAATAGGGACATTTAAAATGAACAAGCTAACATTGTATCACACAGTTCCCTATCATAGAATGTTTTCCTTATAATAATACGATGATAAAAATGCTACCTTAGATTTCTAAACCAAAAGTGTTTCCATAGGTATTAGGCCATTTGTTTTCCATTGATGTTCTGAAAAAAATCCAATGGAGTAAAAGCGAGGTCTGGATGACTGTCTATTTCACACACAAGGAACTTGAAAGTCTAAGCCTAACGTGACTTCTAGTAATTGCCTCTAAGGAGCGGAGGTTCTGCTGATATTCCCATCCACTGCTTTTGGAGCCCAGCCTGCTGTCTCCTCACCACAGTGCCCAGGCAAGCCCCAGCAGAAGAAGGGAGAGAAGAGGTTGCCTTGTCTGATTGGTGGGATTTAGGAACAGAAATTGGGTGAAGGGAATCTCTTTTTACTAAATTCCTGCATACCTTCCACCCTCTTTTAGTCTCTTTTCTTGGTTTCAGCTCAGTCTCCTCTCTTCCTTATTCCTGTTTCTAAAGACATGCTTGGAGATAAAACCATTCATAGCTGCCTATCCACAGACAGTTTGTAGCAGAGAAATTGACAACAAGTCTACTGCAAAAATATGAAAATGCTGTTTTAATAACCTTGGCCTAAAATACATTTTGTTGTATGCCTCAAAGGGTTTCAATAAAAAGTCAACCTGTAGAGACATATTTTCTTGGCTTAAACAACAATCCAAAACATATAAATGTAGTCCAACTATAATGACATATTTATAGGCCAATAAAGCTTACACTGAAGCTTTCATACTTCACTTAAAGAAACACTGTAAGGAGCAGTGTTCTATAAAATAATTTGATTTTTTTCAAACTATTGCCCAAAGAATAAAAAACACACACACCCATAACTTCAAGATGTTTAACTGATATTATTTATAGTCATTAGTTGCTAAAAATCTTGTAAAATGAAAGAATTCTTCATTTGACTAGCTCCAACAGCATACCAAATATGGTTATCAGGTCCACTTCAAGTACTGTAATTCGACAGACAAAAATAAATAACTAGAGGCTGGCATTGTGAATGATTTAATCAACCCGATTCTTCTGGAAAAACAGGTTCTTGTGTTCGTTATGCTTATGAATAATACATTCCTTAACCCTTCTGCTTTAACATAGTTACTTTTCTTCATTAAAAAAATAAACTTTAGCATAAAAAAGTCAAATAAAACATCTCACTCAATAAAAGTCACAATCTGCATTGGGTTCATATGAGACTTTCTTTGAAAAGGATAAAGGAGAGAGAATATAATGCATGTATATTATCACATTTCACAAGGTTTTTTGTTGTTGTTGTTGTTGTTTGCTTTTAAAGAGATTAATAGTTTTCCACTGTCCAAGTCTATAGTTTCAGTCAGAAGTCATTTACAATCTTTCAGGACATCCTCAAATAGTACTCAGAGTATTCTTTCAGGGGGTGATTGGGAATTTTTTTAAAAAACGAAAGAGTTGTGATTTGAGTTTGTAGTTATTGGACGCTGCCATTTGGGGCAGAGTTTCTCTTTGTGGAGTAATTTATTAGCAGATACACATTGGTGAGATCTTCCTTCCTTCCTTTCTTCCTTCCATCCTTCCTTCCTTTCTTCCTTCCTTCCTTCCTTTTTCTCTCTCTTTCTCTCTTTCTTTCTTTTTCTTTCACTATTCAGAGACAGGAAGTGACAGAAATTGGGATTTAAGGGTATTTATTTAATTATTTAATTCTTTAATTAGCTCTTATATTATCAAATTCCTTCTCTAAGAAACAACTTAATTCTTTCATTATTACAGTGTTTTTAAGGGCTCAGTTAACAAGTAATAGTATGTAGAAGTTTTATTTTATCCATAGAAAGGTGAGATCTTGCCACTCTTCAACCAAGGTGGGGGCAGGGGAAGAGGAAGGTCTTAGGTAATCACAGTTCATCTTTATTTGGGGAAAAAAACAATGAGGAGTTGGAAGGGATCTAGAGAAGGATAAACCTAATAAGTGTGTGAACTTCCATTAACAATGTGGTATTGGAGGTGGTTTCAGTGTGGCCAAGGGAAAGAGATAAGAAAAGAAAAACATTGGATAGAAAAAAAAGTACAGACAACAAAAATGATGATGTTCCACACAGAGAAAGGAAGACCCTGAAGAAAAAGTTGCTGGGACAGGATTGTACACTGCAAAAGAAACTCCCTGTCTGCCCAGTAGAAATCCTGACAAAGGCAACTTGCAAAGCTTAGATCAGGCAGATAATGGAAACTCATTACATTAAGGAAAGTTTTTGTTTCTCTTTCCACATTATTACAACACAGTGTGCATTCCAATTACAAAAGCTATTTGTCTCAAATTCCCCACAGTTCATACCAGCTGAGTAGAATTTCAAGGCTCTAAATTCTATCCTTAAAGGGGTATTTTACATTAAAAGAAAAGGAAAAGAAAAGGTACAAGGTGTTTCTTGTCCTGGAGAGCCTAGGATTCAGGACTTCTGTAGTCATCCTTTCCTTAGCACTAATGGTAAAGAAGTCACCTAAATGAGACCTGAAAGCTCTCCATCAAAAAAATAAAATAAAATAAAAATTACTACTAAGAATAATAATCTGAATCATTCAGGAAGACATTTATTAGTAAACACTCTTTGGCCTACCCTCAGTCAGTCTGATAAGAATCTGGGTAAACTGGACTGGGCAATCAGTATTGTTTTGTAAATTCCCCTAGGAAATCGAAAGTGCCACTAGATTTAGAAGGGACTTATGTAGATTTGCCAAGCCACCTATCAATTATTTGATTACTCACTCTAAACCTATTTCTTCTGAAATCAATTTTTTTAAAAAGAGGTAGATTATAGACATTTTTTTAAATCCAAGATCAAATAGTCTTTAAATCCAAGATCAAACTCAGAAGGAATTAAGAAATTGGGTTTCTTTCTGTGCTCATTGATTAGTTATCCGTTTAAATACAAAACAACCCTGCTATAAATACTCTTGTTTACATGTGTGACATGAAGCTTAACCATCTACACATCCTTTTGTCCCCTGTGGGTTTCCTGTTTATTTTTTTTTAACTAGTAACAGTATATTCTATAACTCAAAAAAATCAAACAAAGGAAGAGTTTCATGTTAAGACAGACATAAGACGATGGTGATATAACTGAGATCAGAAGTCAGAAACGCAACACTACCCATATGTTATTCCCACTTTTTTCACACATCATAAAAAGTAGCCATTGTGTGTTCACAAAATCTGTCTGTGAAACAGAATATCTAAGAAGCCTATTAACAAATTTTCTGGCTTTAAAAGGAAAGCCACTAGTTTAATAATTTTCTTTAATTGTGTACATGACAATCAGGCTAATGTGTCCAAAATATTACTGTCAGGCATCTACCAAAAGATGCCAGGAAACTGTTGACTGTTTAACTGCAAGAAAACATTAATATGAGTCCCCAAACACAGCATAACTCATCACAAACCAGAATCACATGAAAGACACAGTCAGTTCCTGGTGTTATTCAGTCTCTATGCCAATTAAAATAAATTGTCTAGGTTTCTTGTAATTGTCAAGTTCTAGTTTTATTTTTTTTAAAAAAAACAGGAAGTTGTCACACTAAGACATAAAATAAGGCTATGAAAATCAGCACTGTGCTAGAATAAAAAAGATGTCTTAATATGTTAAAAGTGAAGTTCCTCTTTACCTAAAGAGGAAGTAACTCCTCTAAGTTCCAGGTCAACAACTTCAGTTTTGAGCTATGTGAAAAGAGCCAGTCAGGGAAAGCCACAGGACCCAAAAACAAAAAAGCAAGACTAGGAGGGGGTAAAAATCAGTGGAGGAAAAAGTGTTAAAGCAAAAGAATTACTTTTGGAAACTCTCGGGCCTGTCTTCACTGAGTTAGGCCTTTAAGATCTTTCAGCAAATATTAATCCTATTTTTCATAAGGTGAAACTGAGTCAGGAAGATTATACAGCTAAGTGTCAGAGTTAGTTTTCACACACTAACCAAACTACTCCAAAGCCATGAATGAATGAGTCCAAAACCTCAAGTTCTTTAAACTTAAGAGTGTATGGAAGGAAAGAAAAAAATACGCAGTTGATAGTGATCATGGAATGCTTAAAAGCTTAAGGAAATCTGACATAAGTTGCCAACCAGCAGTTTCCTGGCTTTGAGCTAGTTCTCTTCCTTCACCTGAAGAAACTCAGCTTTTTCCTAACTTTTCTTTCTACTCAGTGTAAAATGTGAAGCACTTATTTAAAAATACTGAACTCTTCATTAATTCAATTAATTAAATCATGTCTCCTCATATCTTGCTAGCACACTGGAAATTATGTAAGGCCATGTGTTTTATTACCCACCCCAAAACTATACATAGAAGACCCTGTAATCCATCCCTGTAACATCCATTCCAACCTCTACCAGGCATAGCACCAATCATATTCTTTGAGGGAGAAGAAATTATATAGAGACGCTGGGTGTTGATGACTCGTACCTGTAATCCTAGCTACTCAGGAGGCTGAGAGCTGAGCATTGAGGTTTAAAGCTAACCTGGGTAGGAAAGTCTTTGAAATTCTATGCTCAATTAACCAGCAAATAGCCAAAAATGGAGATGCACCTCAAGTAACAGCATTCCAGCCTTCAGTGGCAAAAGCTACGAGACAGTGCCCAGGGTCTGAGTTCAAGCCCCAGTACCAGCACCAAAAGAAAAAAAAAAGGATATCATATATACATGTATAATACTTTTATGAATAATTCTATATTATATAATAATATAGTAAAATACAAATTAATATAACATACAATTCATATTATAACATAGTAGATATGAATAATATATGTCTTTTAAGTTCTTATGAAATTTTCATATGAATGTCAGGGTTTCCCTAAAAACCTGCAGCTAAAGAAAATGGGTAGTTATTCCCTGAGCCCACCCAATTAGATTTCAAAGCATAAATCATATTTACCAAGGTCAGCCTTTTCCTTGAGCACATCTTTGAAGTTGAGTCCGCTGTTGAGAGTTGACTGTCTGTACTTCAGCAGAGCTTCCTTCTGTCCATTTTTCCCCAAAGCCTCAGCTTTTACTGGCCCAGCACGGAGGCCACATCTCCACTTGGAAAAATCAGAATGTACCCACTTGACAAGGTCTTCAAGCTTCACAATCACCTTTTCGGAAACAGCAATGACTTCATCCTACAAGATATGGGATGAACAAAAACATGATTTAGGGCTTGGAGGTAAATGGCATTCCTAGCAAAGCCCACCTGGAAAGCCAAGTGAGTGGTTTCATGTTAGGCAAACAGACAGCATGTGGCTTTGAGTATCAGAAAATTGCTAGCAACTCACTGCACTTCACTGTGAGTTATTTAAAGGATAATTTATAGGACATATTTGTTATACAGTTAGAAAGTATCCAAAAATAGAGCAGTAATTCCAACAGCCATTTTGACTGCTAGTTACAAAGCTCATTCTGCCTAGCCAACCATTTGGGTGAAAGCTAATTTTAAGGTGCAATTAATTGCAAATGTAAAAAGTAAGGCTAGATGACTAATGGTTAGCCTGTCTCCATATAAATGGTCTAAGTAAATCTAGGATTCTTGGAACTCTGACTCACCCCTAAAATTCCTATGTTTATGGTACATTTTCCCTTGGCTTATACACAAATATTGAATTTAACTTTTGTCCTAAAAATTAAATAAAACTGTGATGTAATCCCAAAAGAAATACTTCATAAATGTTATGTGTTTCCCACTGAAAGAAACTTACACATTCTCATGTTTCTCCAAAACTTTGTAAGTTGAGAAATGAGCTGAATTTTTTTCTCTCTCTTAATACATATGGGGTAAAGGGTTGAGAGGGTGACTGAGGAGAAAGTCTTTGAATCTAAGAAAAACTTAAATTTCTCCTATGGATCATAAATCTGAATTTTAAGCATCTCTAATGACTTCCAGGAAGCAACCAACTTTCCTGCCTCAGAATGAAGCCAACAAGATATTTACTAGATAGCCATACATGGAACAAAGCGAGGGCTTGTATTCATAGATTCTTTGGGAAACACTTAGGAAGCTCATCTCTCTGAGCTTTAAGTTAAATTATTTGAAGCATTTGACATTTTAACTTGAACTGATTTCTTTCATTTCTTTTACTTCACATTTCTGTAGAAAGCTTAGCTGTGAAAACCCCTAAATTTACAAAATCTTCAATTTTTTTGACAAAACAACAACAGGAAAATGTCTCTAAGCTATTAAACAAAAGGCATTCACAACTGATTTGGGCTAATTTTGCTGTTAAACATGATTCTTTCCTCCTTCCTCCACCTACACACCCCACTCAGGCAATCCTCCACCCACTACTATAAACAAAAAAAGAGTTTATTAAAATCATCCTCATGCAATCAGAAGCCCTGGATTTTGTATTTTTTTTAATGTTTTAAAAAGTAGGATCTAAAATTTCAGTTTTCATCTAGTTCCAAGTGCTTCTGAGAAAAAAAATTCCTTAGGCAGAAGTAAAGTAATAAATAACAATCAAAAATGAAAAGTAAAGCTTTGGTAATAAAATGCTTTCCTTTATTGTGATCAAATATGAATTTCCAGTAAAAGGGAGACAAAGTGGAAACTGTGTTTCTATCCTTTACTCAGAAAAAATTTCAATACTTTATAAACAATGGGGCATATTACAAAGTACTATTTCAACAGATGACTTCACCCAGATTCACCACGCCATCTCCTCGGAATAAAAGGTCTGGAGTTGTCATGCATTGGGTAGCTATTCCATGGTGATTATTAAATGTGAGAATAAAAATTCGGGCTGGATATTGTTTCAAAGTACATGGTAACAGCTTCTGCACAGGGCAGATCAAAAATAAAGTTTAGGATGTACTGGAAAGTAATTAAGTAGCATAAGAAACCAGCCTGAAAATTAGTGAAGATGGAATTTGGCAACATTTTGACCAAATAAGGTTTCCTAGAATAGACAAGTTTGGAGATGAGTGTTATTTTCAAATAGCTCTATGATCAAATGATTATCATTTCAACTACCAGTTGCTTCAGATCTTTTCCAAGAAATAGCATGACTAGCTCTGGCTGGCTTTCAACACCCGCCAAACAAATAGTTTATTAACCAAGAGAAAATACAATCCTTATGATGTCATTGATGAATAAGCTCATCTTTCAAGATTTAGTCTATAGATAGCATCCAGACTTCTCTCTTTCTCTCTCTCACTTCCCCCCCTCACCACACACACACACACACACACACACAGAGGTATGCATGCACAAAGGCAGGAATTCACATAAACATGTTAACCAAAAGCCCAAGTTTGGATTAATTGTGAAACCACCAGCGCATTTTGCTGTGGATTCAGAGAGAAACTGGCCCTGCAACATTGTCAGATGCCAGGATTTAAAAGGAAATCTGATAAGCAGAAGAGGGAAAACAACAAACTAAACCCCTTAAAGAAAATAGCCAACACACACACACACACACACACACACACACACACACAGAAAATGTCTCAGGAAACATTATTTTGTACACACAATGGCATAAATCACATGTTCTTACTATTCTAGGCAAGTGCTGACTAAAATTCCTAATATGTACCAATCTTGGGCAAGTCTCTCTTCTCTATGTCTAAGAAAAGAATTTCAATAAGCTCATCTCATGATTACATTAGCTCTCTGCAAACTGAGAATTAGTACTGGATAAATATTGCTGATTCACTCTAATACAACACAAAAGGAGCCCAAAGAAATAACACTTTGTTACTCTATTAATGTACCTTGATTTTTCAATTAGCCCAGCTTTTTAATCAATATTTATGTAGGCTGTGTTAAGACACTAAATCTTTATTCTTTCACCAGGCTGGAAACTATTTCTGCAATTTGGATTTTGTTTCTACCTCAGCACAGGAGCTGCCTAGTTAACCATGAATCCTGTAAGTCAGAGAAAAAGCACAAACCAGAGAGCACATGGGTGTAGTCTACCCCTGTGAGTGTAAAAATGGGCATTTTTATCCCCAAAATATCCAGACTTCAATCTTTTATTAAACAAAATAAAAGTAAGTCAAAAGAAGGAACAACCAAAACCAAAACCAACAATAAAAACCACTTGAAACTGAGCAGCAAATTTTTTTAGGTAATATGTGAACTCCTTACCACTCTCTCCTACCTTATTTTCAGTTCACATTTTCCTGAACAGCCTTGGCCCTGCAAACTTAACCAGACATTTATATTTATAGACACTGATTTATTCCACCTCCCCTGTGTTATTGATGGGGCCAGTGAAGTTCAGTGGTGGGTCTTATTGCCACTTAATGTCAGGACTTCTATGAGGATCTTCTATCTGCTAGCATGACATCTTGGATTCTGTGTCCTGGAGTACCAGAGTTTTTTTTTATTCTGTTTTGTTTTGTTTAAATCCCAGCCTTAAATTTTCTTGCCACATAATACTGAGCAACTTCTTGAGTCTCTCTGTGCTTCAATTTTTTTTTATGGAACTACAAAAGAAAATAAAGGATAATAAACCTATCTAGTACTGCCTAGTATTCAGAGGTAGACAGAAGTGATTCAACCTGTCAACACTTAGCTATCTGTCATCACTTTGGATGCTGGTGTTTTCCGAAGTGTGTCAGGGAGCCATGCGTCCGCTGGGCCATAGGTAAACATATTTGTGGGAAAGAAATCCTGGTTTTCTGTTTGTAGCAGGGGAAAAAGTTTCCTTTGTAAATACATTTACAACAGATCACTTTGAACAAAGCCATTAAGTAAACACTGAGGAAGAGGATGAAGATACAGGGGAAGGGGCAAGGATGCCAAGTTACTATGAAAACAACTAAAATTTGGAGTCATGTTTTTGTATCTGAGGTTCTCATAGTGGCAAGAGTCCAGGAACCCTGGGAAATTCCCAGGACAATTTCAGGTGGTCCCCAGGGTCCATGTGGTGACCATAGGGACCCTAAGACATTATTGGCTGTTTGTCACAGCAGTTCTCTGGCCAGTGTACAGTGGGATTTTCCAGAGATTGATACATGCGATACTACACCACAGCAAATGCAGAAGTACATGTGAGACTCTAACTCTTTATGAAGTTAGACTATGAAGAAAATTTACAAAACAAAATGCATGTTTTACTTTCATTAATCTTTTTTTTGGTTTTAAGAATATACTTAATTTTTATAGAATTATGTTTCATGTCAATGATATCCTTTTCTTGCTATTTTTTATTTTTTAAATATTCACTTAGAATAAAAAATTTTGGTGTATGAGTTTTTAAAAAATAAGTGTGTTATAAATTGTTTAAGAGAAATAATTTTTTTCAAAGCAGCATCTCATTATATAGTTCAAGCTGTCTATAAATCATGATCCTCATGGTTTAATCTCTCCTGTGCTAGGGTTACAGGTATGTACTACTAGGCCCAGCACATTTCCAGGAGTTTCAATGTGAGGTTAGATTCATATTACTACCATCACCATGATCATCAGATACAAACTAGTCTATCACTCCCCCAAAGTCCCTTCTATCATTCATTTCTAAGTTATCATATTTTCTCATCCCTCACCACCTTCCCACAATGGCTGATCCACTCCTGCTATGGTTTTCTCTTTCTTAAAAATATCATATGCCGAAACAAACCATAGGAAACCTTTAGGGACAGCTCCTTTCAACTTAGCACAGTGCCTTTAAGATCCACTCATATTGCCACATGTATTAGCAGCTTTGTTTTTTGTTTGTTCACTTATTGCTAAGTAATATTCCAAGATATGCGTGGCCATCACACTCTGTTCATCATTTGTGGACTCAGGAACATCTGTTGTTTCCATTTGAGTGGTTACAAACCCAATTCCTATAAACTCCCACAAGTTTTTGTGTAAATACATAACTTTCAGTTCTCTAAATACCCAGGAGAGGGACCAATATGGCAGACACATATTCAGTGTTTCAAAAACTGCCCAACTATTTTTCAAGTGGGTATATCATTCCCATTAGCAATGTATAAGAGTTCCAGGTGCTCCTTGTTCTTGCCAACCCTTGATATTGTCAGTGCTAATTAGTGATGAGTATTCTCATGTGAACCTGGTGGTTTCTGATCGTGTTGTTTTCATAGCCTTAATAACTAATGATATTGGAAATATATTCAGGTGCCTCTTCTCTGATGAATTGCACGTTTAAATTTTTTTTAAAAAATCGGGACT